ATGGGTGGTACACATTATATATCTGGTACTGGGAAATCAGACTGGTGGGACACATTATATATCTAGTACTGGGTAATCAGATGGGTGGGACACATTATATATCTAGTACTGGGTAATCAGATGGGTGGGACACATTATATATCTGGTACTGGGAAATCAGACTGGTGGGACACATTATATATCTACTACTGGGTAATCAGATGGGTGGGACACATTATATATCTAGTACTGGGTAATCAGACTGGTGGGACACATTATATATCTATTACTGGGTAATCAGATGGGTGGGACACATTATATATCTAGTACTGGGTAATCAGACTGGTGGGACACATTATATATCTATTACTGGGTAATCAGATGGGTGGGACACATTATATATCTAGTACTGGGTAATCAGATGGGTGGGACACATTATATATCTAGTACTGGGTAATCAGATGGGTGGGACACATTATATATCTGGTACTGGGAAATCAGACTGGTGGGACACATTATATATCTGGTACTGGGAAATCAGACTGGTGGGACACATTATATATCTAGTACTGGGTAATCAGACTGGTGGGACACATTATATATCTAGTACTGGGAAATCAGACTAGTGGGACACATTATATATCTGGGTAATCAGACTGGTGGGACACATTATATATCTAGTACTGGGAAATCAGACTAGTGGGACACATTATATATCTGGGTAATCAGACTGGTGGGACACATTATATATCTGGGTAATCAGACTGGTGGGAAACATTATATATCTAGTACTGGGTAATCAGACTGGTGGTACACATTATATATCTAGTACTGGGTAATCAGATGGGTGGGACACATTATATATCTAGTACTGGGAAATCAGACTGGTGGGACACATTATATATCTGGGTAATCAGACTGGTGGGACACATTATATATCTGGGTAATCAGACTGGTGGGACACATTATATATCTAGTACTGGGTAATCAGACTGGTGGTACACATTATATATCTAGTACTGGGTAATCAGATGGGTGGGACACATTATATATCTAGTACTGGGAAATCAGACTGGTGGGACACATTATATATCTAGTACTGGGAAATCAGACTGGTGGGACACATTATATATCTGGGTAATCAGACTGGTGGGACACATTATATATCTGGGTAATCAGACTGGTGGGACACATTATATATCTGGGTAATCAGACTGGTGGGACACATTATATATCTAGTACTGGGTAATCAGACTGGTGGTACACATTATATATCTAGTACTGGGTAATCAGATGGGTGGGACACATTATATATCTAGTACTGGGTAATCAGACTGGTGGGACACATTATATATCTGGGTAATCAGACTGTTGGGACACATTATATATCTAGTACTGGGTAATCAGATGGGTGGTACACATTATATATCTGGTACTGGGTAATCAGATGGGTGGGACACATTATATATCTAGTACTGGGTAATCAGACTGGTGGGACACATTATATATCTAGTACTGGGAAATCAGATGGGTGGTACACATTATATATCTGGTACTGGGTAATCAGACTGGTGGGACACATTATATATCTGGTACTGGGAAATCAGACTGGTGGGACACATTATATATCTGGGTAATCAGACTGGTGGGACACATTATATATCTGGGTAATCAGACTGGTGGGACACATATATCTGGGTAATCAGACTGGTGGGACACATTATATATCTAGTACTGGGAAATCAGACTAGTGGGACACATTATATATCTGGGTAATCAGACTGGTGGGACACATTATATATCTGGGTAATCAGACTGGTGGTACACATTATATATCTAGTACTGGGTAATCAGATGGGTGGGACACATTATATATCTAGTACTGGGAAATCAGACTGGTGGGACACATTATATATCTGGGTAATCAGACTGGTGGGAAACATTATATATCTAGTACTGGGTAATCAGACTGGTGGTACACATTATATATCTAGTACTGGGTAATCAGATGGGTGGGACACATTATATATCTAGTACTGGGAAATCAGACTGGTGGGACACATTATATATCTGGGTAATCAGACTGGTGGGACACATTATATATCTAGTACTGGGTAATCAGACTGGTGGGATACATTATATATCTGGTACTGGGAAATCAGACTGGTGGGACACATTATATATCTAGTACTGGGTAATCAGACTGGTGGGACACATTATATATCTAGTACTGGGTAATCAGACTGGTGGGACACATTATATATCTGGTACTGGGAAATCAGACTGGTGGGACACATTATATATCTGGTACTGGGAAATCAGATGGGTGGGACACATTATAACTCAAATTTAACTCTCAATCTACCTCAATAAAAGATAAAAGAATTCTTTTTGTGATCACCATACACACATCTGTAAAGTTATAACACTTTCAAATGTTGGAACAGGGGCTGGTTCATGGCAGAGAAGTACAATGATGTGTAAGTGGAAGGGGATAGGAGCCCAATGTTAGTGACTGCAGGTAGGGGGAGGGGTGGGGTTAGAGAATTGTGATGAAAATACATAATCAAATTTGCAATAAAGGAAATCAGCTTAAATCTTTCAGATTACATAACATCACAGAAGACAACTTGTAGTTAGGGGTATACATCAGATTTCTCCAAACTTTAAATTCCACTAGAAAACTTGACTAACTATGGTACATTTCTAATAACCAGGTGTGGGTTGTACCTTAACTCAGCCTTATCATTTAAGTTATGAAGTATATATTGGAATTCAATTAAACTAACAGTGACATGCAATATAACAATTGATAATTATAGATAAATTGTAAACACACTAGTTCACTTAAAAACCTCTACATCAGTCCTTGGATCTCATGCATCAACTGTTGAATGAATAAACATAAAAGAAAAATTAATTTTGAACATGATATGAGAAATATTCACGATGCAAGTGTTATAGTGAAACAAGTACTGGCAGTATCAAGGAATTGTAAAGTGAGAGAATGATATATTGTCTCCCTAATTAATCAGGTAAAGCAATGTAATATAAGACAATACATGCTGAAGTAATTCCAATTGTGTTATAGATTACAGGCCACAAAAATCTAACCAGCTAATGCTTTCCCCTCCCCACCCCAACCTCCCCTTTCATTATTTTTCAGATTCACCCTGCCAGACTGTTTCTCCCTTCCTCACTACTCCTGTCTCCCCATTCAGTACTGTTTCTCCCTTCTTCACTACTCCTGTCTCCCCAGTCAGTACTGTTTCTCCCTTCTTCACGACTCCTGTCTCACCAGTCAGTACTGTTTCTCCCTTCTTCACAACTCTTGTCTCCCCAGTCAGTGCTGTTTCTCCCTTCTTCACTACCCCTGTCTCCCTGGTCAGTACTGTTTCTCCCTTCTTCACTACTCCTATCTCCCCAGTCAGTACTGTTTCTCCCTTGTTCAACCTCTACCATCCTCCCTCCAGTGAATATCCCACTTCCTTGTTCAACCTCTACCCTCCTCCCTCCAGTAAATATCCCACTTCCTTGTTCAACCTCTACCATCCTCCCTCCACTAAATATCCCATTTCCTTGTTCAACCTCTACCCTCCTCCCTCCAGTAAATATCCCACTTCCTTGTTCAACCTCTATCCTCCTCCCTCCAGTAAATATCTCAATTCCTTGTTCAACCTCTACCCTCCTCCCTCCAGTAAATATCCCACTTCCTTGTTCAACCTTTACCCTCCTCCCTCCAGTAAATATCCCACTTCCTTGTTCAACCTCTACCCTCCTCCCTCCAGTAAATATCCCACTTCCTTGTTCAACCTTTACCCTCCTCCCTCCAGTAAATATCCCACTTCCTTGTTCAACCTCTACCCTCCTCCCTCCAGTAAATATCCCACTTCCTTGTTCAACCTCTACCCTCCTCCCTCCAGTAAATATCCCACATCCTTGTTCAACCTCTACCCTCCTCCCTCCAGTAAATATCCCACTTCCTTGTTCAACCTTTACCCTCCTCCCTCCAGTAAATATCCCACTTCCTTGTTCAACCTCTACCCTCCTCCCTCCAGTAAATATCCCACTTCCTTGTTCAACCTCTACCCTCCTCCCTCCAGTAAATATCCCACTTCCTTGTTCAACCTAACAATTTCCTAGAAATCCTCAACCAATCATGTTATAATGAGCGAGGCCCATAACATGTTCGAACTTCTTCACTGATCACAGTCAGCTGCTGTTTAATTTGAAATTTTATCACTACACTCACACTAATGATAAGGAAGTACTATGTACATTAATCAAAAAACAAATTCTTTACTTCAAAGAACCCGAATAGTTTACGGTAAGTAAAATTTGAAGCTTCAGGTATGTAACAGAGAAGCTGATTGGTTCATTATTGGCCAGTAGTATGTAAATTACACCTGTAGTCAACACTTCCGGGATACTGCCGATACAAACAGTGAAATCACACAGGTAGATATAGCTTGTCGCACATTCAACAGAAAGTCGGATAGCAGCTCTGTTTATACATCATAAGTACATAACAGGGTCCAATATTGTCATGCATAGCAGCACCTTTCATTGAATGCTCATCAAAAATCAATTTTTTGTTATTTAGAAATACCGTTTTTTCATCAATGATCAAATCGGTTTATCCATAATTGATGAAGTCTATATGCAAACAACATTACACAACAGGAAATCAAATTGGAAGTAGTAGAAAATTGTTTTGTGATCACTTGTGAAAATATATGGATTTCAAAAGAACAACCACAGTACATTCTTTTCTGATATTTCATTTTATGGTCAGTGTTCAGAATTTTTATAGAAATGGAAGAAACCATTTAGAAAAGTATATATAACATGTTAGATTTTCATCAATTAAATATTTTCAGAGTGTGTATGACAGAGCTGCTGGAACAACCTATGGAATGAGCGACAGCCAGGTATATCTACAGATGCAGAATACATGTGTGCCAGTTGTGCCATTCTGATTAGTAAAATATGAAACAATGCTGAAATCCAGGCAAGCCTACCTCCAAGCGGTACCCTCCCCAGTTCACCAGCTGTGGAAAGAGTATACAAACATTAGTAACACAGGTAATAAAGACACACTGAAAACCTAACACACTGCAGTTTCTGTTATGTTTTAACAGTGCCATGTGGCACACTTTATCACCTTTTACAGGTAAAGTACAGGTAAATCTACTACATCACTGTCTCTGTTACCTGTTACAGGTAAAATACAGATAAATCTACTACATCACTGTCTCTGTTACCTGTTACAGGTAAAATACAGGTAAATCTACTACATCACTGTCTCTGTTACCTGTTACAGATAAAATACAGATAAATCTACTATATCACTGTCTCTGTTACCTTTTACAGGTAAAATACTGGTAAATCTATTACATCACTGTCTCTATTACCTGTTACAGGTAAAGTACAGGTAAATCTACTACATCACTGTCTCTGTTACCTGTTACAGGTAAAATACAAGTAAATATATTACATCACTGTCTCTATTACCTGTTACAGGTAAAGTACAGGTAAATCTATTACATCACTGTCTCTATTACCTGTTACAAGTAAAATACAGATAAATCTACTACATTACTCACAGTTTCTGTTGAGTTTTAGAGTACCAAACTGCAGACTTTATTACCTGATAAAATACAGATAAATCTTCCAAACTTAACTTTCTCTGGTACAAGTTATGTACCATGTGCTGTATATATGTTTCACATTCTTTTGTAATCTACATCACTGGATGCAATAAAGAGAGCATATATATTCAAAATACTACTACTGCACTACTCTTGTACCTGTAAATCTACCATACTACTCACTGGCTCTTCCCGCTATGGGTAAAACACAGGTAAATCTACCACATTTAAGTGTCTGTTAAGTTTTGCAGTACCACAATGAAGTCTGTGTTACCTTTTACTTGGTAAAATACAGGTAAATCCACATAGCGGTATGTACATGTATATATTTTGTTACTTGGTAAAATACAGGTAAATCCACATACCGGTATGTACATGTATATATTTTGTTATTTGGTAAAATACAGGTAAATCCACATACCGGTATGTATATGTATATATTTTGTTACTTGGTAAAATACAGGTAAATCCACATAGCGGTACGTACATGTATATATTTTGTTACTTGGTAAAATACAGGTAAATCCACATAGCGGTATGTACATGTATATATTTTGTTACTTGGTAAAATACAGGTAAATCCACATACTGGTATGTACATGTATATATTTTGTTACTTGGTAAAATACAGGTAAATCCACATAGCGGTATGTACATGTATATATTTTGTTACTTGGTAAAATACAGGTAAATCCACATACTGGTATGTACATGTATATATTTTGTTATCTGGTAAAATACAGGTAAATCCACATACTGGTATGTACATGTATATATTTTGTTACTTGGTAAAATTGAGGTAAAGCTATCAGGCTACAATCTTTATTGTCTTTTACAGGTGAGATCTATCATCTTATACTATACAGAGGAAACACAGGTAAATCTACATATTACAGGCTGTGTTACCTTAATACAGAGGAAACACAGGTAAATCTACATATTACAGACTGCGTTACCTAACTACAGAGGAAACATGAGTAACTATACATATTACAGACTGTGTTACCTTAACACTGAGGAAACACAGGTAAATCTACATATCCCAGGTTCTGTTACCTTAACGCTGAGGAAACATAAGTAAATCTACATATCCCAGGTTCTGTTACCTGATAAATCATATTATTTACAGAAAGTTCTGCTGATTTTGTACTTCAGGTATACAATGGCAGAGCTACAAGACAGACCAGTGGACATTATCTGATAGCTGGAAAGTAAAGTGAGCATTAAATCACAGCTTTAGTATTGACAGTCATCATATGGCACACATATTCAGACAATTCTGTTGTCAAAGATGACAATAATGGCTAAAAGGACTTTGCTCAATTGTCTGACGGATCAGTCTAGGACCACTTAGCTACTGACAGGCCTTTTCTCTGTAATACATCAGGATTCAGTCTGCAAACAGTTTAAATCAGATGTCCAGGAATCTGTCATTTCTGCCGCGATTAGATGTCATGGAATGGGTCATAGCATCTGATCAAGTCTCTGTCAATATGTTACCTCCCCTAATTAACATTCTGTCAATGTGTGTCAGCTTTCTCACAATGTACTTCCTCCCTTGAAAGACTCTGTTTATGTGTTACCTCCCCTGATCAGCTTTTTGTCAATGTGTTACCTGCCCTGATCAACTATTTCTGTGAATTTGTTACCTCCCCTGGTTAACTCTTTGTCTATGAGCTACCTCAGTTGAACAACTCCCAGTCCATGGGTTATCTCCCCTGATCAACTTGTTATGTGAATTGGTCACCTCCCTTTATCAACTCTATAAATGTGTTACCTCCCTTTATCAACTCTATAAATTTGTTACCTTCCTTGATCAAGTCTGTAAATGTGTTACCTCCCCTGATCTCTTCTATCAATGTGTTACCTCCCCTGATCAGTCCTGACAATGTTTTACCTCCCCTGATCACTTCTGTCAATGTGTTATCTCCCCTGATCACTTCTGTCAATGTGCTACCTACCCTGATCAGTTCTGACAATGTGTTACCTCCCCTGATCAGTTCTGACAATGTGTTACCTCCCCTGATCACTTCTGTCAATGTGCTACCTACCCTGATCATTTCTGTCAATGTGCTACCTCCCCTGATCAATTGTTATCACCATGTACAATTACCCCAATCTTCTTCGTTAACTATGTTGAAAATGACTACATATCTAATACAGGATACTGACATTTCTATACTAAACCACATTTTACAGTAATTTTCCCTTATTATTAACCATGAGTGCAATATTGATGTCATCTCCATACATATTGATCTGTTTTTATACAGTAAAATCTATATTGATTTATTATCACTTAAAACATCTCAGATGGAAATCTCTAACATGAACATTTAACCAGTTTCCAGACTGACTGTAATAATATCACGGGCAACTCATCATCATTAAAGTTTAGAGATAATTACTAAAAATTGAAGCCATTTTCAGAGATACTGCACATAATTTCCACATTGATTTTTCACAAGAAAATGTGACAGTGACTGTCAACAGAATGCAGCTGATTTCTGGGAGTGAAAAAAAACACACCACTGTCAGTCAGTACAACACTGATCCCTCACATTTATCTAGATAAATACCCCCATTGTCAGTCAGTACAACATAGATCCCTCACATTTATCTAGATAAATACCACTACTGTCAGTCAGTACAACACTGATCCCTCACATTTATCTAGATAAATACCACCACTGCCAGTCAGTGCAACACTGATCCCTCACATTTATCTTGATAAATACCACTATTGTCAGTCAGTACAACACTGATCCCTCACATTTATCTAGATAAATACCCACACTGTCAGTCATTACAACACTGATCCCTCACATTTATCCAGATAAATACCACCACTGTCAGTCAGTACAACATAGATCCCTCACATTTATCTAGATAAATACCACCACTGCCAGTCAGTGCAACACTGATCCCTCACATTTATCTAGATAAATACCACCACTGTCAGTCAGTACAACACTGATCCCTCACATTTATCTAGATAAATACCACTATTGTCAGTCAGTACAACACTGATCCCTCACATTTATCTAGATAAATACCACTACTGTCAGTCAGTACAACACTGATCCCTCACATTTATCTAGATAAATACCACCACTGTCAGTCAGTACAACACTGATCCCTCACATTTATCTAGATAAATACCACCACTGTCAGTCAGTACAACACTAATCCCTCACATTTATCTAGATAAATACCACCACTGTCAGTCAGTACAACACTGATCCCTCACATTTATCTAGATAAATACCACCACTGCCAGTCAGTACAACACTGATCCCTCACATTTATCTAGATAAATACCACTACTGTCAGTCGGTACAACACTGATCCCTCACATTTATCTAGATACATACCACCACTGTCAGTCAGTACAACACTGATCCCTCACATTTATCTAGATAAATACCACTACTGTCAGTCAGTACAACACTGATCCCTCACATTTATCTAGATAAATACCACCACTGCCAGTCAGTACAACACTGATCCCTCACATTTATCTAGATAAATACCACTACTGTCAGTCGGTACAACACTGATCCCTCACATTTATCTGATAAATACCACCACTGTCAGTCAGTACAACACTGATCCCTCACATTTATCTAGATAAATACCACCACTGTCAGTCAGTACAACATAGATCCTTCACATTTATCTAGATAAATACCACTACTGTCAGTCAGTACAACACTGATCCCTCACATTTATCTAGATAAATACCACTACTGTCAGTCAGTACAACACTGATCCCTCACATTTATCTAGATAAATACCACTACTGTCAGTCAGTACAACACTGATCCCTCACATTTATCTAGATAAATACCACCACTGTCAGTCAGTACAACACTGATCCCTCACATTTATCTAGATAAATACCCACACTGTCAGTCAGTACAACACTGATCCCTCACATTTATCTAGATAAATACCACTACTGTCAGTCAGTACAACACTGATCCCTCACATTTATCTAGATAAATACCACTACTGTCAGTCAGTACAACATAGATCCCTAAAATAAATACTGTCACTTTCTCTTATTAAAGATTTTTAGTATATTTCTCCGTGGTAGAAATTCTATAATATTAACCATCATCTTCTTGATATCAAAACCAGACTTGACAAACAAAATTAACATGAAGTAAGTTCTTTACAATCTTCAGATGTATGTTTATTGAATATCAGATATGGTGAATTAAAGATTAATTGATCCTACGACGATGTAAAGTTACAGATGAAACCATCTAATACTACTAAAGTACTTGTTACAATAGTGTAATTATAAACATTGAAGGTCATTTAGTCCCTGTAGGGTACTCAACTAACGTATTTTTGTGGTTGCCTTCTTCACACAACTTCTTGACAAGCTAACA